TTAATCCAACATCAACAGGACCAGGGTGAGTGAGAGTTAGGTTTGCTCAAAGCCTTTGTGTGAGTCGCCATGCAAATTATCTAGACCGTCCGTTCTACAATTTGATTAATCTATTGAGAATAGACAGTCCACTACCATCATGCTTTATCTTCAGCCTGATTAGTTCTTCTAAAACTAATAGTCCTTAGTGTAAAATATATTTGAGTAAAGATACGATATTATTCATTGATAAGAGAAGAAAATTACAATGGGAAAAAAAGAAGAAGTTATTTCTTTGATTTACCAAAAAATAAAGGTTTGATGAAAGAGAGTTGAAGGAAGTTCAAGCTTCAATATAAGATCAATTAATTGATAATTTATAAAGTGGGTCAACTCCTTATAAGCACATGTAATTTTTTTTTTTCAAGTGTGAAATTCATACTCTCAATAAATTAGGATTGACATATAGAACTTTAAAGTTAACTATCCAAGACAGCGCCAGCTTCTAATAAGTTATCTAATGCCTTGTTTGAAAATAATTTTAAAATAGTAAAAGAAATTTCGGGTCATCGAAAACGATTTTCATAATGTTGGGCAAAAAAAAAAACTACTATTTTAAATTGGCTTATTATATTAACACCTCATAAATTGTTGAATAAACCCCACATACTTAATACATCACAAATTTGTTTTTTCAGTTAAAAATTATCTTAGTATACCCCACATACTTCCCCATAATACCCTCACATCCCATATTTTTAATATACACCTTACATTTTCTATATGCACCCCATATTTTCTATACATCCCATATTTCTCAAATCTTATAAAGCTTTTAATTTGGACAAAAAATGCCGACTGGAATTTTGATAAAAGATGCTGCCTAGGATTTAAAGCATATGTGTGTTGTTTTCAATTCCACCATTAAAACACATGTCGTCTGTTTTTAATGGTAATTTTAGGTGTTTAATTCTTCATGTGATATCTATGATCCCTAAAAGATGAATATGAAATAGAAGCTTGAATAATGCAGCAAAAGCAAGATTAAATAATTATCGATGTCATCAAAATACTAAAACAACAAAAAATATGAAGTTTTAACTCATGTGAAGCTCCCGAAACATCGATTTTGTGTTTCATTTGTCAAAAATAATTTTTCTCAATCAACATGTTTGTAGTTTCATTGGTTAGGGTTTTATTCAACAATAGAGGATCATGAGGTTTTGATAGTTGAATAAAATATAAATAATACGTTAAAAGTGATTTGGGGTATATATGGAAATTTTTTATTTATTTTTTTAAACCTAATAAGATCAAAGTTGCTATTGCATAGTAAGGTAAATAAGTTATTTAATATTAAAATTTAATATGAAATGCATTCAACATTTTGTGGAATACTAACATAAAAAGCCTTTTAAGTTCTCTTACAATACAAACGTTTTTGAACTAAATTGCTTTTCTAAAATGCATTTTCAAATAGGCCCCAAGTCTCCCCAAGTAAACGAGCGCCTTTCATGGCTGGCATGATGACTTGCCAGAGGCTTCACCATGTGCCTTATCTGCTTAATTATAAAATAAATAAAAAATCAGATTAACTGTAAATCATATCAGATTAATTGTAAATCATATGTGTCAATCCATGCATAATACATAATATAGCGGTTGAAAAATTATAGGCACCCTGTAAGGCTGGACCACGAGTGTTTTAAATACTAGGTTTAACCAACCGGATTCTCTCTGGATCATTTTGGTGAGGATTCTGAGAATTCGTGAATCGTATTCGTTTATTGTATATCGTGCGGTCAGTTTTTTGTCAAGTACAGTTTATATTTATTTTTAAATAAAAATAATTAAAATGATTTTTCTGATTGCACGATGTATAATGAACAAATACGATTCTTGGATATCCAGAATCCTCACAAAGAGGATCCGGACTCCTAGTTTTAATACATTCACTGCATCATGACAGTATTCACAGGTAATATCTGTCTTTGACATTTTTTTTTGGTCAAAATAAATTACTTCAATTATTTAAAAAAAAAAACAAGTATAACAAAAAGGCAACCCAAAAAGCAGTCCACTACCTAAATACAAGCCCAACAACAAATAAGAAAATACAGTAGATAGGCCTAAAAGTGGCTAGCTGGACAATAACAAAAAATCCCTAAGACTGGAATGGAAACCAGCAGCCACCAGATGCGCCTCCATCGCAAGGCCACTAGCACGACTAAGAGAACGAACCAACTAAACAACTGGATCAACGAAAAATGGGGGTGAGCGAGCCACCCACACAGTGAGCGCTCTCATAATCATACCAAATAGTGCTAAAAGCACTTTGACAACCACCAAACACAAGAGGAGAAGCACACGGGCCGAGTAGAAAAGACTAGTGGTTGAGGACGTGCGATGAAAAGTAGCATCGGAGAGGGAGAGGGCCATGCAGGTCTAGATCTAAGACCAGCTCATGGGAATTGAGACAAAGTTCAACGAACAAAGCTCAAGGCAAGCCAAAACAAAGACCAAAAGAGAAAATTTTCACAAATTAAAAGACTATTTAAGTGGAAGGATGTGGGAATGATGAAGGAAAGAAGGGGGAAGGGAAGATGCAGAGAGTGAAGATGGATGGGAAAGAGAGAATGAGGGCTAGAAAAAGTTGGGAAGGATGGGGGAAAGATGGGAAAAAATGAGGAAAGAGGAAGAAGTAGAGGATGGAAAAGAAGAGAAAGAGGGAAGGAAGGCTAGAAAGAGGGGGAGTTTGGTTGCCGCCGACCCCAAGCTAGAGCAAGGATCGGCGGCGAGAAGGGTTTTGTTTTTCCTGAAGGCAGAGGGTCTCTGACTTTCTTATGTCTTTTGTAGTTTATGTGCTTGATGATGAGGATCCTCTTCGGATTCTCTTTGTGATGATTCTAGGATCAATTCATCTTAGCTATTTCTCGTACATCGTGAGGCTAGCTTTCATTAGGTACTGTTTATGTTCAATTTTAAATAAAAATTCAAAATAATTTTTGACCACCGAATGACTAATAAACAGATATGATGAACTGATCTTTAAAATCCTCATCAAGAGAATCCAGATAGGATCTTATTCCCTTAGATGAAGACCCAAAACTTCAATCTGCATTAAATACCATAACACGGCTTTCATTTTCTTGTCCCCATTTTGAATATGTGTAACCACTTAACCCCAATCTTAATTTTGTTAACTTTTAATAAAATAAAAAATAAAAAACAAAATTAGAGAAACTAGCAGCCACCGGGTCTCCAGCGACTCTGACATCCACAACACCAGAGACCTTACGTGGCTGGCAGCAACCCCGACTCCTATTCGCCGCCGGCAATGCCTCATCTCCTAGAATCCTAATAGTATACTAGACCTAATTGGATTCGACCCATCATACTCTCACTAATTGGATTCTCAAATGTAGGTGGGTAGCCGCTGTGAATGGGGCGGCTGGCGTAGGTGACTGGCTAGTTGCTGGCGCGGGGGTCTTGCCTGGATCAGGGTGGGCTTGGGGGACGCGGTGACTGCTCGTTTCTTTGGTTTTAGTTTTATTAAAATTAGCGGGGGTCAAGGCTGGGTTAAATGGGTAGATACTTGTTGGAAAATAAGAGAGGAGACATGAATGCGGTACCAAATTAGTGACAACATATATGTAGCCCTCTCGTCTTTAATTCGGACCGATTTTCTTCCTTCTTAGCTGTAACTAATTATTTAACACACTAATACTATCAGACCATTAAAATAGTTTTAGATAAGTTTGTTTTTGTTATTCCACATATAAATGCAATAAGTTTTTATCAAAATCGTACCATACATCACCAACGTATAGCTCCGCTCTTTAAGTGGACAACATCCACGCGATAAATTTACTTAGATGGTTGAGCAGACCTACGGAGCATGTCGTAATAACTAATAAGGCCGTTTCCACGTGTTGTGGACAACGCATAAGAGTTGTGCTACTAGCCCCTGTTCAAACTCGAGTTAAGTTTTATGTTTACCATGCTTTGCTATGTATTATGTAATACACGATGAGAATTCTCGATATTCCAAAATCCTGTCACGTCGTGTTATAAATTGTTTTAAAATGTAAAATATGTATTTAATTTTTTTCATTAATAAATTTTAAAATGTGACATATTAATTATGTCCTAATCATGTAATAACACTAAAAAATACACCACATAATAAACATGGGTAACATAGTGTTACAATTCTATTCAAATTATGAATACATTGTTTTTAGGGAACTTTAACGAAAAACTTCCAGGACTATTCACTTTAACGAAAAACCATATTTTTATACTAAAAAATCAATTCTGGTACTATTCATTTTACCCTTTATTTTGTCCTTATCGTTAAAGCTCAAAGTTTTCAAGTCATTTTCATTAGTTTTTGTTTGTTTTTAGAGTAAATTGTAGCAATGGTCCCTCAACTTTAATTAAATTGAAGCAATGATCCCTCAACTAAAAATCCATTACCATTGGTCTCTCAACTTTTCAAAATGTGTAGCTATAATCATTTTCATCAAAATTTTGTCAAAATAAGTTATGTTAAAATAACCATTTATATAATTAGGGTCTCTCAACTCATCAAAGTGTGTAATTATGGTCATTTTTGTCAACCACGTCAAAAAATTTGTCAAAACAAGTTATGTTGGAATGACCATTGCTACAATTGGGTTAAAGTTAAGGGGTCATTTCTCCAGTTAGAATTAAAGTTGAGGGACCAATGGTAATGAATTTTAGTTAAAGGACCATAGTTGCACGTTTTGATGAGTTGAGGGATTAATGGTAATAAATTTTTAGTTGAGGGACCATTACTTCAATTGAGTTAAAGTTGAGGGACCATAACTACAATTTACTCGTGTTTTTATATGATACTATCTTCACCCCACCTCTCCCCTTCTCTTATAAATACCCCTCTTGTAACCCCCACACTACTCGAACATCACCACCGCCACAACCAAAAGAGTTCCATCCCTCCTCCGCCTCCTCCCCGCCACTTCTCACTGAACCTGTAACTGCATGGCAGTGAGCTTCTTAGATACGAGGTATCCGACCTCTGTCTAGCCAAGCCGGCCCTGAGGTCCCTCTCTGCCTCCGCCACCGTCGCCGATGCCTTGGAATCCCTGAAGACCTCGCAGGACAACTTCATCAGCGTCTGGGACTGCAACCACTCCAAACCCAATTCACCAGACGGCGGTGGTGTAGGTGGTGGCGGCCAGCTCTTCTGCTGCATTGGCAAGGTCTGCATGGTTGATGTGATCTGCTATCTCAGCAAAGATGACAGCTTGACGTCTCCATCCGCTGCTCTCAAGGCACCTGTCTCTGAGATTTTAACCAAAATTCCTGGCCATGTTATGCACGTGGAACCTTCCTGCAGGTAAAGAAAATCAAAACCCATGTCTTGAAATTTCTTATATTTCTCAATTTTTTTTGGTTTGATTTGCGTTTTTGATGAATTTGGCATCTGGGTTTTCTTGTTGTTCCAGTATTATTTCATTGACTGTGCAAATTGGAGTATTCTGCTGTCTTTTTTCTCAAATTGCAGCCAATTTTTTGTTAAATTTGACTTATTGACAAACCCATCAACACAGTTTTCTAATTATTAAAAAAAAAAGTCCTAATCAAAAAAATTTCTCATCTAAGTTTTGTTTTGTACTGTAATTAGTAACCAATTTACCCAAATAATTAATCTTTTTTACTTTACTCTGTAATTTTCAGTCTGCTAGCAGCCATTGATCTCATCCTCGAGGGAGTCCAGAACTTGGTGGTCCCAATCAGAACCAGAAGCAATTCAAGAAGAAAGCAGCACCCAAAACCCATCTCTGCCGCCACCACCACTATCCACAACGGCCAAGAATTCTGCTGGCTGACACAGGAAGATGTGATGAGATTCCTCCTTAGCTCAATTGGGCTTTTCTCCCCCCTCCCAGCCATGTCCATAGACTCCCTCGGCATCATCAGCACCGATATCCTGGCCATCAACTACCACTCATCCGCCAGCTCCGCCCTTCAGCTCATCTCCCACTCCCTCTCCCAGCAGACCTCGGTGGCGGTGGTCGACACCGAGGGGGTCCTGATCGGTGAAATCTCACCCTTCACCCTTGCTTGCTGTGATGAGTCAGTGGCTGCCGCCATCACCACCCTCTCAGCAGGGGACCTCATGTCCTACATTGACTGTGGTGGCCCCCCTGAGCACCTGGTAAAAACTGTAATGCAGAGGCTGAAGGACAGGAAGCTCCAAGGGGTGTTGGAGAATTACACACTGAGCTCATCAAGTAGCTATGCACATGCATTGATGATGACATCATCTTCTTCCGACGAGGAGTCATCAGTGTCTCCTAACAGGAGCCTGCGGCGGACTAGGTCCGAGAGGTACACCCGGTCGAGCAGCTACTCGGCGAGAATGGTGAGGAGGGCAGAGGCCATTGTCTGCCATCCAAAGAGCTCACTGGTGGCTGTGATGATCCAGGCAATTGCTCACAGGGTGAATTATGTGTGGGTTATTGGGGATGATTGTAGCTTGGTGGGAATTGTAACTTTTTATGGGATGTTGGAAGTTTTCAGGGAACATTTGGAAACCATGGGTTAGAGAAAGTAGGAAGGGCTTGCCTACACCCGGCCCTCCAGGACGTCACGGTAGGATCTGAGGGGTGTAGGAGGGTCTATTTTCTAGAAATCTTGTTATTTAGGAGGAGTCTGTGAGTGTACAAGTTTTGGTTTTGATCATCAAAAGCGGTTTGGAATGAATAAAACCATGGGGGTAAAAAAATCCAAGTAAAAACAAAACCGTGAGATATGAATAGGAAGGGAATTGTGTGCTCTAAAAAATTCATGTTTGGTTCTCTAATGTTATTCGGGACTCGGGAATTTATATGATATCTAAAATCAAATGCGATCTTTTTAAGAGGAATTCGAACTTGAATGCAGAATAATAACATAAGTACTCTTTTACCTAACTAAAACTTGAATGCAGAGCGAAAACACAAGCACGTTATTTTAGCCAACTAATCTATCTTAAGAAAACACCTCAACTAAAACGCAATTCCGTTGAGATGATTAATTTAACTGGTTTTTCAAAGGTTTGCCCATGGAGAGGGAAGAATTTGTCAAACTAGTAAGAAGACAGCTCATTGTTGCACTACATATTCTACAACTTCAAGGCCAATTGGCCTCATATATATTATTTATTTAGGAAAATGTTACTGACATTCTAAAAATCTCATTTTATATTCTTCACAAGTGTATTTTTCTTTCCAATTATAGAAAGTTTGAAGTGTATAATAAAATTTTTGGAATACCAATAACAATTGCCTTTATTTATTTTCTCTATTGTATCTTTTATTTACTATTTATATATGAACATGTCAACATGAAATAAAAGCAACCATGAAATGGTCAGTTTTTATGTTGTCTTATTTATGGACCAAAACGAAATACTTTTCGATTTGGGCATAAAGGTAGTTTGGTTCTTGAAACAACCCATTAATTGTTTTTCTCGTATAAAATTTCATTGGTAAAGAAAGAAGAAAATTTTATTCTGAAGAGAATCCATCATATGGCTGATTGTAAATTATTTTGAGTCGTTGATATAATTGATATGCACAAAGAGCTATACAACTGAGAATACAGAATATTTTCGATCAAATTAATATTTGCATATAAGCAATTCGATAATAAGAGTGATCGGAATTTTTTGTACAGTACGTAAGTAGATTATGATTATGACATACTGATCTAAGTAGATGTACAACAGTTCAATAAGGGTTTTTATCATAAATGATCTTTGAAATTGATCCATCCCATCAAGATATTTCCTGAAATTGAAAATCAATCAATGTAGTCTCTGAAAATGGGTGATACAAATCAATGTCGTCATTTCGTTTGAATTCCGTTAGAAAATCTGTTAGTATGCTGACGTGGCACATTATAGACCCCCACTTCAATATTATAATGCCACGTAGATTAGAGAAAGTTTATTTTTAATTAAAATAAATAAATGTGTTTCAAAAACTAAAAAACAATAAAACTAAAGTAATCGTCGTCCTCATCTCCGCACCCATCTATATTCTTCTAACCAAAAAGCAATCCTTGTAATTTTGGAAGAATAAACATCAAACCCAGGCGTCCATTTGTGAACTACAAGGTACATGAGCTTGAAAATTGAAATCCGAGGGTGTGGGGTGGGTGTCGACGACATCAAACCGAGTTGGAGAGACGAACTTCTGAATGTCCAGAATGGATTACAAGCTCTGGATCTGGAAAATTTCAAATGCGATCTTGATGAGTTGGATTGGAATCCGATTGTTGGTCTTAGTACTGGCTTGGTATGAGGTGCTTTTATAAAAAATGGGTATAAAAAAGCTGAGCTCAAAAATGTGTTTAGTAAATATTTAAAAACAGTTTATTTTCACAATTTTGAGTGAAAAAAAACTGAAAACATGAAGCAGAAAAAATGAGCTTATTCTCATAGTACACCAGAAGCAGTTTTTTTTTCAAAGCACAGCAATACCAAACCAGCCCTTAAACTTGTAGATTTGATTGACAACTATTTTGCTGCTATTTTGAAAAAAAAAAGAGGATTTGGAATTTGTGCTTACTGGAGGACCTAGGCTTATTTTGGGTCCTTACCTTGTAGTTCACAAATGGAGGCCTGTGTTTGATGTTAATTCTTCCATATTTGCAAGGATTGCTGCTTTTTGGGTTGGAAGTAGATGGCTGGGTGCGAGGAGGAAGACAACCATTATTTTAGTTTTTTTGTTTTTCTTTTTAATTTTTGAAGTATATTTTCTCTTTTTTTTTAATTAAAATAAACTTTCCCTAATCCACATTGCATAAAGTGAAGGGCTTATACTATGACACGTCAACACACTAACAGATTTTCTAACGAAATTCAAACAGAAGGACGACATTAATTTGTACCACCAACTTTTAGGAATCACATTGATTGATTTCAATTTTAAAGACCATCTTAATAGAGTGAGTCAATTTTAAAAACCATCTGTGATGAAAACTCTTTCAATAATTATGAATCTCTCTCAAACTTATCTGTAACCAAAATTGGTAGCGGAATTGACATGCTTATCCCCAGCCACATAATATACAGCATGCCATGCAATAGCAATGATGATCCAAATTACAATAATATCCATACAAATACTACTGGTCATGTCTGCTTCTCCACCGCTTTTGTTATGGCTGGTAGCTGGTACAGTAGGCAGGCTTTCACTAATATCCACTCCAAACCAGCGAGGCCTAGCCAGTCAATTCACATCTTTCCATGCTGTCCAATATACTGCCATTTATTTACACTTGATTGGTGTCTCAAAATAATCATTCGAGAACTGCAAGAACTGCACGAAAATGATTTTAAAATAATTAAAAATGTTTTTAAATTATTAAAATTATTTTAATAACATCTGACTACGAAATAATTAAAAGTTTTACTAAATTACAACGAGCACTCCACGAATGTAGTTTTATTAAAAGAATAATGCTAAGAGAAACTAAAATTTTAAAATAAATTTACAAATTAATTAATATACAAACACGATATTTAATTCAATTATCTATAATTATATTATTTGTTTTATATATTCAACTTAAAAATTTGATTTCCTTAATATTATTTTAGTAAAATATTAAAGAATTAAAGAAATGTTAAAAGCAGATGGATATGGATGGATGGAGGCCCTTAGAGAAAGAGATTCTTATTTTAAAAAGAATAATATTAGAAAGATTAAATTTTGTAAATTAAATGATATGGAAGTTGATGATTGAATTATTACTTAATCGTTGTTAAACATGCTCATTTTCTATTAGTGACATCACATTTGGTTTGCTAATTACAAATTTAGTATATCTAGCATTATTCTTTTAAAAAATTAGAGATTAGTTGTGGGGTCCATATTACATCGAATTTTAACAATTCGAACCATCTATTTTTTAAGTTGTACCTTATAGATCATTCATGCAAAATATTAGTCAAATTGAAAATATTTGAGACATCTATTTGAGTTCAAAGGAATTGACGAACACTTTATTATATAAGAAACAATGAATTTTTTTGTGATAATTAAATATGCAAACAATTTTGTTTTGAATTGATCTTTTACAAGAATAATTTATGAATCGAGACTTATAAAATAGATGATTCAAATTGTTGAAATTCGATATAGAGTAGATCTCTCAACTAACCCCATTTTTTAAAATGAATGGGGTCCCTTCTTTTCAAAGGTATGATGGATGGATAGCAAGCCAGCAAATTCTTTTTCTGTAAAGTGTAAAGTGCACTGCAATCAACATAAAAATAAACAACAAAAAGGCAAAAGAACAAATCAAGAGCTGCAGAATGGGCCATTTGAAAAAAGAGAGTAGAATTTGGGAAACAAAAGGGCATCCCAACTCATTCACACTTTAAGGTTTAAACACACTTCTGTTATGATAAAGTTAAAATATGTTTAAGAAAGGTAATCTGATCTGATCCTCTTGGAGTTAACAGTAACTAAAGAAGGGAAGGGGTGATTAGGGATTAGTGATTAGTGATTAGTGATTAGATAATACAAAGTGTCTTCATCAATAAGAGAATTACTTTTGACCATTAGATGTTCTTTACAGCCCCTCTCTCAAAGCTCAGGAGTGCACTAGGCTAGAAAAAATGTTTCAACAAATCGTCACGTGATAAGAAATCACATGAGCGTCACATGTACTAGTAGAAAGACTTAAATAAAATGGGGGGCGTCAAGTTGGAGAAATTTTTTATTGTAACCGGCACATGGGTAGTGCATCATTTGTTTTTATATAAGTTGTGAGAATTTTTTTTTTCTTCAAGTTATTAACCTTTTAACATACATATCCCACAATTTGTATAATGACACGTGGTATACCATCCCGTGTTCCAGTTACATTGCAAAACCTCTCATCAAGTTGGTCGTATTTCGAACTTATCACTTGTAGTCACATATTTCAATTTGTTTACATAGCATTGCATAATTAGTTAGAACACGACCACTTTGACGCTCTTGATGCATGCAAGTCCTTCTCATGGGCAGTAGAAACATAGCATAAGTTGCACTTTTGTGGTCGGAATTTAAAAAGAAGGAAACATAGCTTGTTGGCCTCCTTTGATAAAATTGGAGCATAGTCTCTGAATTTTGGCCAAATTTGATATTTGTACCTAAACTAAAAATCTGTGGTGGTTGAACTTATCACAACATGAAGCAATGGTTATTTTAGGTAAATTCATTAAAAGTTTTATTCAAATTAAAAGGTAATTGCATTACGTTTGTGACAAACTTAAGAATCAATTCTTATGATTTTTTTTGTTCAAATATCAAAACTCCAATTAAGCTAAAGCTCAAAACCAAGGCTCCAATTATTTCTTCCTCTTACAAACTTCCAACTACTCCTTAACCTATTTACAACATTATACTGATTTTGTAGCAAGAGTAGCAAACATCACAGTGAAGGCACATTCATCATTTGAATGATGGGCTTTCATTTCACTCTGCTTCCAACGTCCCAATTCAGAAGGCAATTGATATTAAAACACCAACACAAAAGATCATAAATATTACAAAAGTAACTTACATAAAACTAGTTCATTGTCACGAGATATCATGTGTCGATAAACTGTTCCATGTAAGTACGTCTCTGGATATTACATTTCAGTAGAGTTTGATGAAAGTTGGCAAGTACAAAGTGGGTAGTGTCTTATATAATAAATATTGACATGGACTGCTAACTAAATTTGCATCCTTTCTATTTTAAAACAAAAATCCAAAAGATGTGACTATACTTAGAAAGTCCATTCAAACAAATATTGTCACCCCTACAGGTATGATTTTTGTGATTTTTTTTATGTTACCGACAAGGCTACAAATGGACTAAGAATTATGTTACATCCATCATCGCTGCCGACCGCAGATCCTTGCGGTCTAAGCCATAAAAATTAGGGGCGTGCTATCCACACACTCCATTTTACTTCTCACACACCTCTTGATGATTTCAGTCCGTTGATCTTCTTCAATTCATCCGATCCGACGACCGAAAATTAAAAAGGTGTGTGAGAGAAGTAAAATGGGGTATGTGGATATCACACCCCTGAAAATTATGCTAACATCAACCATGCACTGACAATATTTCACTTACTTATTATGAACTCAACTCAACATATTAGCAGTTGTGTTGACGTTGTTAAGTTGATGCTAGGGTAATCCCGGCGTTAGCGTAGTTTTATCAGAAATGATAAAATGAATGAAAAAAACCAAACCTGCACAGGGGGGTGGCTTTTGAGCTTGGTCAAGAGTTATGGGGTGGTCTTGTCAATCTCATCCCCGTGGCCTAATGCACCACACTAGCCTTTACCCCGAGTATATACCAGCAATTTCCGTACAGAAAGTTACAACTTATTTTGTTAGAATTCAAATGCATGCTCAGCATAAACAATAAAACATCGAAAGTATCTTTCGTTTGGAGACTAAAAAATCCATTGGAATCAAGTGCCACGGCATGCTCGTTGCCTGCAGGGACTCGAACCACCCTCTCTCGCTCTCCTTCAATTAAATTTAGGTCACAACAAGGTAACGACATATTAATTATCACTTTCAAAAGCGGGTGCGGAAATCACTTTCAAATACATATTAACATGTCCGTGTTACATTTAGGTCAACTCCAGCAAGGTAGTGGTGGACGGGTCATGGGAAACCATATACAAAAGCAAGAAACAATTTTTTAGTTTGAAAGGCAAACAAATGTGGCAGCCTTAACGAATCAGTGATTCTCTTTCTAATTTTCTCTGGAGCTCATGGTGACGACCAAGTCAAAAGGAAAAGAAAGCATCTAACCGAAAAACGATCAGAAAAGGGCTCTACAACAGCATTCGGCTTTTAGCTTAGCATGCAAGTAATCCTTCTATAACGAGACTGTATGTAGCACCGGATCCCTGGCATTTAAAAAAAAAAAACCAGGGAATAAGCTAATAGTAACATATAGATGCTTATCGTTCATTAATGAGAGGTAAATCTTATGATAAAGAAGAGAAAGGTGAAGAAATATATAGAAGTATACACTTTAGGCGTCGATTAAGGAATTCAGAAATCAGATTCGTAATTCAGTGGTCTTGTAACAAAAAACTCGTAAACTTTACTTACCGAGACTGTTCAGGTGGAACATGAGACTCGAGATTGGGTGCCAATCTAAATTTTAAAATCTTTTGAAGGCTCGTAACTGGTTTTACTTGCTTGCTTGGAGATTGATTTGGATCCATTATGCATTTGCCTGCAAAAAGGTTTGCTTCTGATGGTCCCGTTTCTTCATGAACTCCAGGGCTAGCATCTGCAATAGGGCTTGCTTTAGTACAAGATAAGGTGCTACTGCTATTGATGCAGGCAGATACAAAAAGTAAATAAATGAAACAATACAAGTTGATAGGTGGCTTCTTTTTTACTGATTGATTGATTGAGAAACATAAAAGAAAGGCTATGACTGGCTTTTGGCTATCATGCTCATAACCACCTTCCGCAACAATAAGACCAATTTTTTCATTTTAAGGCAAATTCTGCGCCTCATGAAAATACATAGTGAGGTGACAGGTCTTGGGGAGAGAGGGGTTATCCAGTAACAGATTCCGGATTAACAACGGTTTCCAATGGTACATCTATAGATACCTAAATAGAATCTGGATCTTGGTGCGAGTTAATCTAGGTCAGGATTTGCCCCATATTCGTATTCAACCTGACTAAAAGTCATAGCGAGGCGCTTCGAGTTAGGTAGTGCTGTACTAGCGTCTAAGCCCTACTTTCCATAGGCAAAGGGAAGTGGTATAACCTAAGTTTTCTATAATCTATATCAAAGGTCAAGATCACCTTTCAATATCTATTCTAGTCCCTCAGTCTTATCAAAGCATGTACTAAAAAACCTTCAATGGACTACAACTCAAAAGGCAAAATTCATTGCCTATTATGCGCACCTCTTGATGCCAATGAACTTTAACCAATATTTTCACATTACACACCCTCAAATGAAAGTAGATTCTTGAATTGGAACAGAACTTTGAACATCTTAGCTCAGTTGGAGAAGAATAGAATCGTAACAAAGTAGAGAAGGAACAAAGAATGAGGAAGCCCTCAATTTACTTGCAGAAAGAGAGGACCCTAATTTAAAGAGGGATCCAAACACCTTGATCCGAAAATATACGGTACAGTAAATGTATAAAGGGCAGTTTTCCAGACATAGTTTCTTACGGGTGTATTCTGAGTGTGAGAGAGAAATGTAATTTACCTTCTTCTTTGAATATAAGGCATGTTCCAATCGTTTCTTGATATTCTCCTATCTGTAGGAAAACAAGAATTAGTGAAAAGAAATCATGTCAACACACAACTTCAACCTCCAAGCCTTTCTAGTTACGCAGAACTTGCCCTAGTTCTTCCAAGTATAACATACCGATTACTAATAAAAATGAATGAAACGGCATACAAGGCTCAAAAGAGAAAATGTAAGTGGGAATTAGAGCAAGTACTGAATAATAAAGAAAACTACTGCGAAGTATCACTAGTTATAAACAATACAAAGTGCCAGGACAGCACCAAGCCCTCAGCAAGATAAACAGTAGGAAGATTGGAGTTCAAACATTCAATTTCCACTAAAGCATTCAATGCCAATGTTTTAAAGAGTGAGGCTGATCCGAAGGTGTTTCATATGCTGCGTAAAACAACATGAGAATTTCATAGGCTTGATGCTGCAAACAAGTCCGAAAGAGACGAAGGTAAAACAATTCTCAGGGATACATTGTCTACATAAAAGACTCTGCTAACTATATATCAACTAAAAGCCTAAAACCACTCTCAGGGATAATAATTTAGTCAAATTCTTCTACAAAACACACAAACCGTTCCAGGATAGCACCAAACCCTCACCACGATAAACAGTGCAAAGATTAGAGTTAAAACATTCCATTGCCACGGAAGACGTCCAATGTTACATAAACCGGCATAACTTAAGACCAAATTCATATGCTGCATAAAACAACATGAACTAATTTCATAGCCTAAACACTCCTACCAAGTCCGAAAACAGCTAAAGGTAAAAGAAAAAGGGAAAATGTGGCATTGACCGCATAGAAACACGATATCGGTTTTACAAACGGATTCGAGTTTTCGCAGTTTAAAAGTTAAGAATCGGCATAGAATCACAGATTACAGAACCACACGATGGAATTTGAAACAGAATTTCGTATTTACAGGCTGTTAAAAACTTAAAACTCACCAACTTGAGTTTGTCGCCTATAGTCAATACTGGATGCTCCGTGTTTAGACCCTGAAAATCAACGCATTTCGATATTAAAAATGGCATCACACAAAAAAGAGTTTCGAATGCTGAAAATTGCGGGGCAAAATGTTATAAAACAACGAGATACTTAGATTAGAAAAAACGTACGGAAAAAGAATAGGGTGCGTTTGGTGGAATTTCAAAGTGCGAGGAAACGGAATCGAGATCGAGCAATACATATTCTTCTTCTTCTTCTTCTTTTGACTCCATAGCATACGTCTATAATACACACACACACACACACACACACACACACAAATACAAAAAGAAAAAAAAGCAATTAATTCAGGAATCATGATATAAAATTTGAGAAATCGAAGTAAAAATTGCAGAAGAAACCCGAGAGATAGAGAGAGAGAGAGAGAGAGAGAGAGGAGGGGGGCGGGGGATAGTGTTTACCTTGAACCAGTGGGGCAAGAGCTGACGCTTTGAGATGTCCAGCAGCAGCAGCAGCGAGCGTGGTGAATTAGAAGAAGAAAAAGAAGAAGCGATACGCAGCGTTTGGAGATGCGATAAATTTGCGAGCCCAACACTGAACGGGCCACTTGAGAAAAGGCTACAAGTGGGCTTCTGTAGACACCCACCCATAAAATGTGTAAAATTTATGATATAAACAATAGACAGAACAATGTTTTATATTAAATGATCAATTAGAGATTTAAATCTGAAAATTTGGGAGTACACCTCAAAATGGGCAGTGCCCGGCGGTGGCGACTTCCGCCGGCGACTAGTGGATGACGGCAGTGTGGAGGGCAACGGCTCGTGGAGGAGGCGGAGGCCCGTGGTTGAGGGGCGTTGGTGTGGACTAGTTGCTAGCTGTTTCTTAGAAGTTTTAGAGGGCGTATTCAATTGAGAATTTGAGATACTTTAATGGATTTATAAATCCATGAATTTTTATTGAGTTTAATTGATTTGTCAAGATTCCATATAAAATTTTGATTCAATTCCCTCGAAATCTCTTGGTAAGATGTGAGATTTGTGGATACTTAAAATACACAAAACTTCGGGAATTGATCTAACTTGAATGTATAATTGAGCTTATGCATTTTAATGATTAAATTCATAGATATCTCAACCGCATATGAATTTAATATTGTAGTATCTTTTAGCCTCTATATTGGCATCTATGGCAAAAAAATGGTACCTTCATGAGAAAATTTTGTAGATCAATGAATATTTTCAATCTGGATATTTATTAGATACCAGAAATTATAAGTCTATTCACGAAAGTTTAAGTCAATGCCACGTACAATATTTGTTAAGATATATTTAGGAAACTATTATTAGCACTCTAAAAATATTAATTCTACACTCCGCATAAGTGTATTTTTCTTTCTAATTATAAAAAGTTTGGAGTGCCAAATGAGGTTTTGGGAGTGTTAATAACAATTTTCTATATTTATATACATTTTATTTTAGTTTGGAAGTCGACTTCCTTTTTTTTTTGGATAATTCTATTAACACCCCACAATCTTATGAATACACTCCATAATTTTATTTTTTTTCAATTAAATTTTCGTTTTTACCCTGATGAATTAAGTTTTGAAGTCTAAAAAAAATCCCATCCACCCCCTTATGTCGACTGCCAACCACCAGAGTGTCTGGGCAAAAAATCACAGCCACTCGCCATGCTATCCCAACCACCACAGTGTTTGGGCAAAAACAACCCTATTTTTTTTAGCAGTGGCGTATTTGGAGAACAATAGCGCATGGATGACAGTTTTCGGGTTCATAGGGGACTGAATATGGCTTTAGTCCATTTTTTCAATCCAAATGGCGCTTCTGTTATGGCTGCTAAACAAGACGATATCGAGATTTTGATTCGAGATCGTCATATATTAGGATTAAGTCTGTCAGCAGTTAGGTTGTTTGCTAGCAAAATAAGCCTAAACATGGGGATTGGGTGGCTTCAGAAAAATGGAGGATAAAGTTAGAATTTTAGAAGCATATTTTAGATGTGGGGTGTATTAAAAAAGATGCGGGGTGTTAATAAAACAACCCTTTTTTTCTTTCTTTATCAAGTTGGGTAGTATCATTGAGTGTGACACTGTGCAACTAGTTGTTGATTTGTTTTGAATAATCAACATGATTTCTTACAATGTCTTGGGCGTATGAATAACAGAAAGAAAACGGTCATGATCCAAGCCGATATCATGCACAAGTTGTATTACTAATAAATATCCAGATTGAAAATATTTATCGATCTACAAAATTTTCTCATGGAGGTACCCATTTTTTTACCACAGATACCAATATAGAGGCTAAAAGACATTATGATATTAAATTCATATGCGGTCGACATATTTATGAATTTAATCATTAAAATGCATAAGCTCAATTATACATTCAAGTTAGATCAATTCCCGAAGTTTTGGTCAACAATAAAAACTGCTTACCTATGAGTTCACCTATAAAACGTGCAAAGACGATATATTTTTTATCCACAGTTTTATGTATCATTGTATTGTGAATTTTTGTCCGCAACTTTTGTGGCATATAGAGGCTAAAAGATACTACGATATTAAATCCACATGTGGTCAAAATATTTATCAGTTTAATAATTAAAATGCATAAACTCAATTACACATCCAGGTTAGATCAATTCCTGAAGTTTTGCTCCACAATAAAAACTGCTTAGCTATGAGTTCGCCTATAAAACATGCAAAGGCGATATACTTTTAATGTAATATGAATTGTTGTCCGCAACTTTTGTATCTAATAAATATCCACGGTAAAAAGTATTCATTAATCTACCAAAAGTTATTATGGACGTACCCATTTTTCTACCACAGATAGGAATATAAAGGCCATAAGTTTTCGTCTTAATAGAAAGAGGTCACCATGCTTGCGAAGTCACACATGGCAATCAACTTGCATTGGCCCTTACGTACATTCCGTTTTTCTTTTTTCACAAAGACTTCGACGAATGTCAGACAAAGTTAAGCCAAGTGACGGTGATACTTACAACTTTATTTATTATTATTAGATGAGTTTAAATTTTGAGATCTATGGTGTATAGATACAATCTCAAAATTTAATTAGACTCAAGTTGTATTACTAATTAGTACTATTTAGATTGATTCAAACTTAAGCGAATAGACTTCTAATTTATGGTATCTAATAAATACCTAAATTGAAAATATTCATCATTCTACAAAATGTTCTCTTGGAGGTACAAATTTGTTGCCATAGATACCAATATAGAGGCTAAAAGATATTACGATATTAAATCCATATGCGGTCGAGATATTTATGAATTTATTCATTAAAATGCATAAACTCAATATACATCTAGATTAGATCATTTTCTGAAGTTTTTGTCCACAATAAAAACTGCTTACCTTGACTTCACTTATTAAACGTTCAGAGGCAATTTACATTTTAGCCATAGGTCAATGTATTGTGATTTTTTGTCTGCAACTTTTGTATCAAATAAATATCCACGATTGAAAATATTCTTTTTTTTTTAACAAACGATATTATCTACACTAAGGGAAGGGGGTGCGCTTAGCCTCATAATGGGTTAGCAATAATGTGGTTCAAATTTGCCTTTGGGGAGAATCGAACCTAAGACTTGTCACTTACAAGTGAAGAAGAATACCAGTAGACTGTACCAAAAAATCTCATGGACATATAGCCATTTTTCTACCACAAATAGGAATATAAAGGCTATAAGATGCAAAATCAAAGTTATCTATTTTTTTATCTAAGTGAGAGTCGTGACTTAGGAGGGTCTAAGTAGGCGCCTAAACCTTTCTTAATCTCCAAATGCTTAGAGATTAATTGGGGCGGTGACCAGTCACCTTGCGCCTAGGCGGCGCAAGACAAGGATTTTTAGAACAGTGTTTAGTATTCAGTAATAGTTTTAATATTTTCATTTTTCCAATTAGGTTAAAGTTGAGGGACCATTGTTACAATTTTTCTCATTTTGTTTTCCATAATTGCCCCTTGATTCAGCCTCACGTGTGTGGCACGTGACTCATTTTGACGAAAGTTCTAACGGAGTTGGCGAAAAGGACCATAACTGCATGTTTTGAAGAGTTAAGGGACCAATGGTTATTGAGTTTTAGTTGATGGACCATTACTCCTATTAGATTAAAGTTGAGGGACCATTGCTACAATTTCCTCAAAATATAATGTGAAAGAGATTAAAAAGAATAGCCCACAAGTCCTAAGGGTTGGTTTGGGTTAGAGTGCTTATGAAAAAACAGCTGATTAAAAAATTTGGAACACCAAATAGAAAAGTAGATGTGGAGCAAAAAATAATCAAGAAAATTATGGAGGCGACACATGAACTTTTGGGTGAAATAGACAAAATTACCCTTAAGGCACATCGAAATTCTCATGCGCATGCAACGGACAATAACAACTCAATCAAGGAAGAGTCAAAGGTGATTAAAATGGTATTTATTCAAATCCCTCTCATCACTCTTCATCAAATCCTTATTCGAAAGGTAACTCCCAATTTTCCTATTCAATTTAGGTGTAATTGCCAAGTTAATTGCAAGATATTATTTCACTTAATATCTTGCAATTACACTCACAATTTGACCATATATGGCCGGCCCCTATTTTCCAAATAAGGCTGGTCACTCCTCTATAAATATCCCTATTCTCCCACTAAATTTTAAAGTCATTTTGCTACCCACAGACTCCTAAACACATTCTTTTCAAAATTCTAACTTTGACATCGGAGATTCTTTGGGCAAAGCCCCCCCCCCCAAAATTCATCGTGAGCTCGTGAGGCTTTTGACCTTAATCTTAAGAATTATTATTTTGCAGGTGCATTTTCGTTAAAGAAGAAGACGACGAAAATTTGCATCCACAGTAGAAGCATGGTCTACTATGCTTATAAAAAATTACTTTTTGTTTTTTCAAAACATAGTAAACGGTCCCTCAAATGATATATGTACCTCGCATATTTTACAAAATTGCAATCTTTGTCCAAAATTATTCTCGTTGACTTATTATATCACATTTAATATCATATCATTTTTTGTTATTTAACATATTCATAACAGTTTTACATACAAGTTTACCAAACACTTATACACTTTTTTTTGTTGTTAAAAGAGCTTTTACAAAAAAGAAAAAGAAAAAAACAAGGGAACTTTAACGAAAAACACCCGGTACTGTTCACTTTAACGAAAAACCACATTTTTACACTAAAAAGTCAATCCTGGTACTATTCACTTTACCCTTTATTTTGTCTTTATCATTAAAACTCAAAGTTTTCAAGCCCTTTTCATTAGTTTTCCTAAAAAACAAAACAAAAAAAAAATTTACCAAACACTCAATAATTTTTTTAGGAGCACATCAATACAAACTCTAAAAAAAAATAAAAAAAATAAAAAAAATAAAATAAAAAAAAAGCGTCATGCAGGACAACAACAAACCCCATATTGCGACTTGGTTGTCGTGTGCGCACAAGTCAAAAAATTAAAAGACTAATTTTTTTTTTTGGCATTAAAAAAACAAAATTAAAGAAATAAAAATCATAATGTAGCGTCTTAAACTCGAAGTCACACATGCCAATCAA